ACCGCTACCTGCAGGGCAAGGACTTCTGGTACCCTTGGAAAGCATCTGCTGTGAGGGTTTCTGGAGCTTCTTGTGGTTTCAGAGTTTCAGTCTTAGGGTTTAGGGTTTAGGGTTTAGGGTTTGGGATTTTGGGATTAGGGATTAGGGTTTAGGGTTTAGGGTTGAGGGCTTCTGAAAGTTTAGGCTTTTGTGTTGGCAGGTTGTAGAGGCTTGGGTTGTGTTTCGATTTGGTGGGTTTGGAGTTTGGGGTTGCGTTTCAGTTTGGCAAAAGGGCGGGAGGGCGGTGGCTGGAGTTTAGAAACACAGTGGGATTCAGGGTCCATTTTTTGATTTGGGCCGTGCAACTCAGGTTTATGGCTTCAGGCTTCAGGAAAGAGAGCTTCTGGAGGCCCTCCAATGCACGGTCTTCTCCTGTGGCGTCAGTCTTGACAATGCTGATCTTATGTTGGGCCTAGAGCCGAACACAGATTCTGGGAATCTCGAAGCAGTCGTCCAACTCCCGGAATGTCAGCTGTCAAGATTACGGTCTCGTCGGGAGCCCGAAACCCAATTCAGTTTGGACATCCGCATGCCACTCACGTCCACACTCCATGATCATGCACACAACATCGCGCGAAACGACAAGCTCAAGACCAGACTTGGCTTTGACTAAGTGAACCCCAGAAAGTTGGAACATGGATTTAGGATGATTCCCTAAATTTACTTGCCTTACGGGCATGAGGATAACGGTTTTCCAACTTGCTGGCTTCTACTTTAGACCATCCGGCAAAGATCCTCTGCCAGCCAACATCCTCCGTGCTGCACCAGCCACAGAACCCCAATTAACATGTCCTGCCCTGATTACACCACTGAGCAAAATCACAGAACCCACACTTTTCAACCCGAAGCGGGGGCTGTCCTCTACAGTCGTCAAGCTCAAGCAACATAGTATTTTTCAAATGGTAGAAGGTATAAACCGCCCACTTGCTAGACCCGTTACCATACCCTAGTGGGGTCCTGCCGTTTTCTTGCGGCCAGGAGTACTATGCCGGGGACCCGCAGCTCACACGCAAAAGGTTCAGGGCTTTTTCCTTCCCATCGTCGGAAAGATCTGCCCCCAAACCCTAAAAGCCTGAACCCTAAAATCTGCCGCGATAAGTTTCACTCTTGGGCTGAGCCACGGTTTTGTCGGTTCTTATTCGTGTTTAGAGCTTATACGGTCTAGGTCCTAGGTTTCTAGCGCTTTGGGCGAGTTTAGATTCGGATGTTCAAGCTCTTTTGGTTGGATCCTGACATAGACCATAATAAACTGTAGGAACCATGGCATAGCAAGAGCCCCGAACAAAGGTATTCGGTACCTTATTGTGCAAGATCCGATATTCCCGAATCAGGCTCAGGCTGAAGGCAGTTCTGCTTTTGATGCGTGTGAGACACAGGAATTCGGAGGAGTAGGCTGCAGATTTTGGGGGAATTCTTGTAAAGCTGTTGGGCGATCGTGTCTTTGGGCCTTGAGGGCTTAGGGTTTGGTGGTGTAGAGCTTCGGTTTCCGGAGTGGGTGTGTTATAAGAGTGGGTTTCCGTTTCGGCCAATATGGAGCACAACTTTGCCGAAAGAAAAGTCGACCATCCGCCCTGTGGACACAAAACCTAGTTTCAGACCCTCTTGCAACGGGACGTTCTCAACCCAATTCTCAGGAGCGCAGACTTCAGCGGAAACCACCGTCGCTTGGCAGGTGGATCAGCTGGGGCACATCTGGTGGAGGACAGCTTGCAGATTTCAGCTATTCGAGCAAAGTGACGACGATGTCCCTAAACTGCCCTGAACCTGCAAGCCGTCAGCCGGAAGCGGTAGAGTGCCATGAAAGGACAGGTCAGAGGGACGCAGGGAAGTGAGGAAGATGAGAATTTGACACTTGCAGGATCTCTCCTCTTCGTGATTTTTTTGCCTGAATTAACTCCTGCGCTACGCCGTAGATGTTAGCTGAAAAAGGATCGGTACTTTCTAAGACCTGAACTCCCTCAGGTACCCAGAGAGCCCAACACCCCTTAACGCAGGTATATACCTTAAGCCTTAAACCATACAATTTAATATTACGGCCCCTATAATTTATGGATATGCAAGGTGTATTCCTTAATTAAGGGGTGTTGGCCGCTCCAGGTCGACATCTATTATAGGCAAGCTCGGAATTTTGTTGTGACTTGACACTTCGCAGCAACTTTCCCTTAGTTCCGCCTCATGCGCCTAGCACAATGCTGCCGCCACTGCCGTCGCTACCCGCACCACCACCGCTATTAGTCACTCGTATCCGCCTTCTATGTAGTAGCATCACGATGAATCATCCCATCGTGGACATCACAATGCTCATGCGCTAACATCGAACCCTTCTACTTCTTCGTTTCGCTTCAGGCTAAGTCCAAACCAAGCAACATGTCGAACCGAGACAGGTCGATTTTGAGCCTTGGAGGTTGGTGGCATGTGTTTCGGGTTCCGCGTAAGAGCTCTAGAGTGGGATGATTTGCTTCGGGGTTCAGGTGTTGCTGTCGCGTCAGGCTAAAGCCCATGTTGTTTTGGGGGGTTTTAAGGGTCAACAGCGCCAAGCCATCCCAAGCCCCCAACCCTAAACCAACACCCCTGAACCCTAAACCGTTTTGTCTGGAGCTCAGCCTGTTCTGACCTCAACTGCTAAGCCCTAAGCCGCCGATCAGCCCTAGATCCTAGAGCCTGCACAGAAATCCGATGCTTTAAAGCCAAAGGGTCCAAAGTACCTATATAGTAGAATGTAGGGTTTCTATACTAGGAATTGCTTTTATGATTTGGGGAAGTATGCCCCATAACAGTACCTAGGACCCTTTGGGAAATACAAACACCTAGCCCTGCAACCCAAATCGAGCCGACTCTTGCAAAATTCACGCTACAATGCAATGTCCCTGAACTGAAACATGAACCCTGCGCCCTAAACCCTAAACTTCCCAACCGATTGCTCCACAGGAGATCGTGTGGAACCCTTTTCCACATTCTGCGCAGATTGGCATCATAATTTCGTCGCTGAGCCAGGCGCCGGAGTAGGATGTTAACATGTTTCGATTTGGTAGGCACAGTGGCTACGGCCGGGAGGAGGAGCAGGAGGACGACGGCCAGAATGATGATTATTATGATGGCGATGACGATGATCGTGATTATGATGATGATGATGATGACGGTGATGGTGATGGTGATGGTGGCGGTGAACATCATCGCAGCGACATTACGATGGTGACGATGAGCAATGGTTACACACCATGTTTCGAATTTGACGACAGCGCTTATTTTACCATGACTACACCCGCAACCGTGCCTCCCCGCAGTTCGATTTTTGTTGTTCAAGCTCGAGAAAAGCCCTGTCTGTCTAGTTTTAACCCAACAACACCGCATGGGAGTTTCAGCCAGAAAGATATCGGATTTCCCCCCTATAAGATACTAACTGGTGGTCTCAGTGGGATCCTCACGATCAGGACCTCCATGCATCTGTCGCTCTAAATACTTCCGAAACGGAGCTCACACAAGATGCCCAAGGTAGATACCGTCGCAATCGCGAGGTTGTTCTGTCCATGGAGGTGTAGGGTATTTCAACAAACATTTAGTTTCTAGAGCCTGCCTCCTTTCGTCGCCGGCCGTCCCGGCAACCACAACCTCCTTGTGCCCGAAATACATGCATGAGCGATTATTTCACAGTTCCAGGACTCTAAAAATTCAGTTTTTTTTTGGACCCTGCATTTGGGGACAGTCTCTACGATCAGAAGTACTAAAAGTGAGGTCAATAGTTTGTGCGTTTGTAGGGTTTCATCTCGACAACTCAGGACCTTCACTCTTCGCACCTTGCACCCTGAACCCTAGATGCTTAATACTCAGAACCCGTGAAGACAAAACCTTTAGTACGAAAGCTCCATAAGCTGCAGGCGAAGACCCAACGTCATGAATCATTTATTGCCCTCAGCAGCCTTTGCGGACAGGCACTCCAACCCTAAACCCTAAACGGACAGGCACTCCAATGTCTCATCGTGGCGCCGCGGCTGCTTCAAAACATCGCCAGGGCCCGGAGCTCGGCGCGGTTTCCTAGGGTTGAGGGTTTAGGGTTTAACAGGTCGGGATACAACTCTTAGGGTCAAGGTACGGTGGAGCGGTTCAGTTCAGCCCTCGCTCAGACCCGAAACGACGGCTTGCAAAGCTGCGTACGTTTCTGCACTGCAACCCTTGAAACTTCAAGCCCATGAACCGGTACCGGGAAACCGATCTCCGGCTTGGGGTTTAGGGTTTAGGGTGATGATATGGGATGTAGGGATTCGATCTCCACTGTCGTGGTGAGGTCTACGACAAGAGGGATTCGCTGTTTCGGGACTATACTACGGCCATATGTGGCGAAGTGCCGGTAAGGCACTGGGCCTACAATAGAGGCTTTAATTTCAGTACCAACCGAAAATAATTATGTTTCGGGATGTATAATATATATATATATATGTATATATATATATTTATTTATATATGTATATGCTTATGTTATGTATTGTTGTTGATAAGGACGTATACGTAAGGAACTGTAGTACATCTAATTCCTTAGAATCCCTTGTTGAATGTAAAGGAACTCACATTGCTTTGGACGACCGTCCATGACCCATGAGCGCTTAGCTAAACCCTAAACCCTCTACCATAAACCTGAGGCCCCGATAGGGTGCAGTGCAAGTATGTTGCTTATATTATAGTATGTTACACTCTATCATATTTTGCTGTTTAGTTTATCCTGTGTTCTGTATAGTACTCGAGCTTCCCTAAACCCTAGACCCTAAAACCCTAAACCCTAAACCGTTGTCAGCTTGGCATGTTCAGTTGGAGCTGGCTTAAGAGCCTTTCCCCAATCCTGATCTTGCTGCGCCTGAGCATGATGCTTCGCCTAGCTCTTTCTGGAGGTGTGCTGGCCGCGGTTGTGCTTCTCCATGGTTGTTCAGACGAAGAAGTCTCATACCTCGCCTGTGCTTCCTACAGCAAGAATGGTGCCGGGAATGTCACCGACTACGCCTCATGCGCTGCCGCCTGCGACAAAGGAGAAGGTCTCCAGGAGACTTATGGCACCCACGATTGGAAGGGCAGCTCGGGTTCGGGAAAGTGTGATTGCAACTTGGTCACTGCCATGCATCATTTGTGCTTCTTGCGGTCTGGGTTTCCTCATATTTGGAAAGGGAGTGGCCTCAAAAGGAACAGTTGATCTTTACCTCTTTTTGCCTGTAAATCGACCCAGGCAAAGCCAGTGACAGTGAGCACAGGACAGCTTGTCAGGACTCTGGGTACTCAAGCTGAGAGGCCATCGTTTTAAAAGGTGCCTGCATGAAGATTGGTCATGCTGCCGCTCTGTTTGAAGCCCTGATTCCCTCAAAGTTCCATGAGTGGCACTGAGCTGGCAGGGAGACATCATTGGCATGAGCAACGTAGGGGTCGAATAATCAGAAAAACTTGTCCTTGTCGTCCTTATTCTGAACATACTATAACAGTTTGCCCCACAGATTTTTTGTAATTGTTAAGGCCCCTATGTAGCCTGTCCCTTGTACATGTTCGTCTTCGATGCCTCTAAAGGCTCGGATCGGACTGCGCAGCGCGAGAAATGCTGATTTGAGTTTAGGTTTTAGGGTTCAGTAGGGGTTTAGGGCGTCGGGCTTGCATGGGGTGGTTTGGGGTTCTGGGAGTTTAAAGTTTGTCGAGATTTGTGTCCGTAGCCCACTTGATACAATGCCGGAAGCAATCTTATTCTCGTCTGCACAGACTTACATATGCCGTCCATGCCAAAGCAGACGCAGACACAGACGTTTTGACCAAGCCAGGCAATCTCGTCGAAGTCTTTCAATTTTTGAAGACGGCAGATGTACGGACAAAAAGATATAGACACAGAACAATAAACACGAGAACAACAGACAGAAGAAATCAACAACTGGGACTTGAGAGTTACCCGGGTGTCCGTGCACGGTTCCCAACCTGTCTGCGTGTGCCTCCGTCCGACATGCAACATGCATACACATGATTATACCTATCTCTCGGTCTCTGCTTCTTCTGCATATCCAGACATAGACATGCATGCATATGCACACAAGTACGCTCAAAGTGTGCTCATTTTTGTTTTCCCTTTCTCTCTCTCTCTCTCTCTCCCTCCCCTCTCATCTCATTCTCCCTGTCTTTCACATTGATTCCCTCCGCTCTCTCTCTCTCTCTCACTCTCTCTGTTCACATTGTGTGTCTCTTGCCCTGTGCGTTCATCGTGGACATGTTGATGTACTCTGGCTGCTGCGGCTTGCGACTACTTGCCGAGTGAAGTTGTGCAGGGGGGAGTGAGTTTGCGAATTGATGACAAGCCAGGCCTTAAAGCAGGGTTAGAGCTTCACAGGGGTTGTGGTTTTATAGGGCTTGTTCCACTGGTTTCGGGTGGGTTAACGCAACCATAAATTGGTTCCTAAATAATCTTCAGGAGGTACTCTTCGCTATCTCAGAATATCATACAAATGCAATTCATGCAGCCATTTTATACCCCATGGCCTGCTGTACCTGCGAGGACAAGATCTTGGGCGTCTTCGACCGCATTGCCCCGCTCTCAAAGCACGGCGAGCCGGTGCGAGCTGCTTGACTGATTCGGCGCAGATTATGATAAACCCGCCATGCCAAGTGCTCTTGCTCAGAGGTTTCAAGTGTGCGGCTTTTGTTTTTGTGTTTGACGAAGTTGCTGGACTGCCTGTGAAATTGATGCTTCCTGGGCGGGAGAGTTCTGAATTCAAGGTCTTCCTTTCTGCGAGGCATACTTCTTTTCATCAGCACTTTAGTAGAACAATGGCCCTCATAAGGGAGCATACTTGTAACTTGGGACAGGTCCCCTCATCTCTAAGCCTCTAAGCAGCCGCACTTCAGACCCAGCTTCTCTCAACGGCCTGGGTAGGAAAGCGGCATTGAATTGATAAGGCGGAGGTCTGAATACTTAGGACGGAGTAGTCTCCCCTTGTAGTCCCCAACTCCCGGTACTCGATCATACCCCAAAGCCCTAATCGATTCAGAGAGAGAGAGATAGATACTGGATTAAAGGATTAAAGGTTGGCTAGCACCCTAAACCCTAAACACCTAAACCCAAACTCCTAATTCCTAAAACCCTAAATCCTTAACCGCAAACTTCTCCCATGTCTCCCTCCTCCGCCAAAGGTCTGGTCTGGGACCCGGGGTTTCCGAAGCCCTTACATACAAACTATCGTTTTTGTTCATCATGAGTTCTCTCTCTCTCTCTCTCTCTCTCTCTCTCCATCTCCATCCATCCGCAAGACTCAAAAAGGGAGGTTCTTGGCGGGTGAGTCAAAGATTGTGGAGTTGTACGGTTTCGGGTTATGGCTGGATCATTCCAATAGGGTCTGAGGTGTAGACTGCCAACAACGCTCGATCCGGAAAACCAAAATGTCAACTCGACATCCTTGCAAAGCTTCTCACGGCAACATTCACCAACCTAAATCCTAACCCCAGACACTCAAGAGGCCCTAAACCCAAAACTTTGGCCCTAAACCCTGAACCCCAGACACTCCAGAGGCCCTAAGCCCCACACTTTGGCCCGAAAAGAGGCCCTAGGCCCTAAACCCCAGATACTCAAGAGGCCCTGAACCCTACACTTTGGCCCTAAGCAGGGTTTAGAGTTTAGGGTTTTAGGGTGGAGGTTTAGGGTCTAGGGTTTAGGGTTTAGGGTTTAGGACACTTAAGAGGCCCTCTTCTGCACGTACATCTTTGGTGCACTCCTCGTGCTCATCGGGGAGGCGGAATGGATGTTGCCCTGGATTATCGGACAACAGAGGTTTGGGGCTTGCTTAACACGTCTCCTTAGGGCTTATAAGGTTAGTTTAGGGTTTAGGGCCGGTGGTTTTGAGGTTTAGGGCGTAGGGTTTTGGGGGTTGAGGATTAGGGTTTGCGGTTTAGGACTTTGGGTTTGCGGCTCAGGGCTGAGGGTATAGTACAGGGTTTCGGGATTGAGGTTTGGGGTTTAAGGAACTGGGTTTGGGTGGGGGCCTAGGGTTTAGGAGAAAGTTCGGCACCCCAGCGTTTGCACGCAAGTTAAAGGCTTCTCGCTAGGCCCTGAGCCCTGAGCTCGACACGGGAGACCGAAAAGCCTGCATACAGCACATCCCAGAACTTCAACGGGTTTAGGGTTCAGGGTTTAGGGTTTAGGCACGACGTTAGAGTCAGCAACCCTAAACCCCAAACCCTCCACCCTAAGCATCCCCCCAACCCTTAAATTTCAAATCCTGAACAACACGCTGCCAGATTAATTGGCTGGAACTACAAAGTAACTACCATGGGGACTATAGCAAGACTGTAAGTAAAAACCTAAACCCGATAGATCTTATTCGAGGCTGCTACAGATGTGAAATTCTGTCCTCCCCCCAACCCCATTGCATCAAGCAAGTTCCCATCCTCGATGCAAGGAAACTCCGCCAAATACGGTGAAAAGTCGCTAAGCAGAACGACCTTGTCCTTTTCAGACATATTTGCATTTCTGGAATGGAATGTTTTGCGCCATGAGTTGCCTTCAACCTTTTAACATGCAGGTGAACGCAGTCGCACCACTGTTGACCATGTGCCCTGGCGCAATTTGTCCACGAATCCTAGCGGCCCAGTTGCTGATGTGGTAGGTTGCTGTCCCTGCATACATAACCATGGCATCATGACCCAGTATGTGCCGGATTATGTTTAGGTAGCTCGGGCGGATGCTCGGGCGGGTCCGGAACCTTTGATGACGTTTAGTACGTTTAGTACAGGGTCAGAACAATAGCAGTAGTATTCCCTATGGAGTTATAGCTAAGTGTACCGTAATATACCCTAAACCCTAAAACCCGAAGCCCAAAACTCAAAACCCTAAACCCTAAACCCTAAACCCCAAACCCTAAACCCTAAACTCTAACCCCTAAACCCAATTCCCCGGAGCCCTTTGCTCACGATGAAGGCGCCTCCACCAGGCTTCAGGGTTTTACATCGCCGGTCGTCAGAAACGACCCCCCCCCCACAAGCACTGCCCATGTCTGTCTTTAGGGTTTAGGGTCTTGGGTTTAGGGTTTAGGGATTTACGTTTTGAGTTTTGGGTTTCGGGTTTCGGGTTTTAGGTTTGGGTTTTGAAGTGCCTGCAACGGCTCAGCCTCGAGGGCGAGTCTGTATCCTAAGCCTTACTTACATCGAACAATGTTATATGTACAGGATACTGCCCATAAGACTTGTTAGTCAGCCTAAGAGCCGGAGCTACAAGGGATAAGCTTGGAACCCTAAACCCTGACCACAGGACCTTCAGGCAAAAGCCAAACCACGACCACCCTCTTAGGGTAGATCTTTCTCAGCATTCGAGTAGCCCCAAACCCTAAACCCTAAACAGTAAGGGCTTCGGACCCTGATCCGTAGACCCTGAACCATGGTTTAGGACTATAGAGTCCTAGAGTCTCGAATTCTAGGAAGCTTTGGATTAGACAGGAAGGGCTTTGGGCTTAAGGTTTTGGGAACTATGCGGGAACCGTAGGGTTTAGGGTTTGGGGTTTGGGTCGTTGGCTCTGGGGTTCAAAGTGCAATATAGGCGTGAATCAATTCCTCCCTAGGGCTCCTTAATGCCATTATAATTAATATGCTATACTTATATACCCCAAAGCCCTATGCTACCTGGCAAGGCTGGTTTACTGTAAAATGTTTTGGTGTGCGGATCCAGTGGAGATAGCGCAGAAGGGTTTAGGGTTACAGGGTTTATGGTATGAATGTTGGGCTAAGAAGCTTAGCAGCTTCGTGCGTGTGTCCCCCCCGGAGAGCTCGTCGTATACCCCAAGTTCTCATCACGGCAAACTTCCTAAGAATACCGAGGTGCTTTCTGCGATCCGTAACCCTAAACCTTAAACCCTAAACCCCTAAACCCCTAAACCCTAAACCCTAAACCCCTAAACCCTAATAAGATGTGTCCAGAATTCGGATCCGGCGGAGAACCCTAACGCCAAAGCCCTCAACCCTAAAACCTGAGCCACATGTCCGGGGGTTCCCTCGGGCCTCTACGATAGTAAGGAAAACCCTGAACCCTAAATCTTAAGCCCCATTTTTCCTCCAAGCCCAAAGCCGAAAACCCTAAGTCTAACTTGCATCTATCGGGCCCTGCGAGACCAGGAGTCCTATCGCTTTTTGTGGAACAGACATCTAAATCTTGGATCCTACATGCTCCTAAATCCCCAAAACAAGGCCCCAAAAGGGTTTAGGGTTTAGGGTCCCTAAACCCTAAACCCCAAAGGTTTAGCCCCAAACCTCCCAGAAACTTCTGATGTATT